GCCAATCTGCCTGCTGCTCTCTCCCGGCTGATTAATAGGCTGTCATTGGCCATCGCTGGCAGTGGAGGCCGGAATGCCGTCCAGATTGTGCGTTGTGCTGCTTGGGATTCCTCCTGTGGGCTGCTGGAATGAGCTCATTGCACAGAGCTGCCCATTGCAGAGAGGTTGGGAACGCGAGCGCGCCAATTAACCTCGCCAGCTGCGCGGGGCTGAGGAGGAAGTTTATGCGTCCGTGTGCTTTTATTTGTTGGAGGTTTACTTGCAGGAGTCTCCCTGCCTTCCGACCTCTCTGATGGGAAGTACAGCTTACAGAGGACAACGTGATGTTGGTGCAGGGCAGGGGGTATAGGGGGCTTCAGCTGTGGCCCCTGAATGCACAAATGGGCTGCACGTAATATTTAGTTTATGTAATGCTACAGGAGATGGTCAGAGACTGCAGACATGGTACGGGAGATGGTCAGAGGCTGCAGGCGTGGCGCAGGAGGTGGGCAGAGGCCGCAGGCGTGGCGCAGGAGGTGGGCAGAGGCCGCAGGCGTGGCGCAGGAGGTGGGCAGAGGCCGCAGGCGTGGCGCAGGAGGTGGGCAGAGGCCGCAGGCGTGGCGCAGGAGGTGGGCAGAGGCCGCAGGCGTGGCGCAGGAGGTGGGCAGAGGCCGCAGGCGTGGCGCAGGAGGTGGGCAGAGGCCGCAGGCGTGGCGCAGGAGGTGGGCAGAGGCCGCAGGCGTGGCGCAGGAGGTGGGCAGAGGCCGCAGGCGTGGCGCAGGAGGTGGGCAGAGGCCGCAGGCGTGGCGCAGGAGGTGGGCAGAGGCCGCAGGCGTGGCGCAGGAGGTGGGCAGAGGCCGCAGGCGTGGCGCAGGAGGTGGGCAGAGGCCGCAGGCGTGGCGCAGGAGGTGGGCAGAGGCCGCAGGCGTGGCGCAGGAGGTGGGCAGAGGCCGCAGGCGTGGCGCAGGAGGTGGGCAGAGGCCGCAGGCGTGGCGCAGGAGGTGGGCAGAGGCCGCAGGCGTGGCGCAGGAGGTGGGCAGAGGCCGCAGGCGTGGCGCAGGAGGTGGGCAGAGGCCGCAGGCGTGGCGCAGGAGGTGGGCAGAGGCCGCAGGCGTGGCGCAGGAGGTGGGCAGAGGCCGCAGGCGTGGCGCAGGAGGTGGGCAGAGGCCGCAGGCGTGGCGCAGGAGGTGGGCAGAGGCCGCAGGCGTGGCGCAGGAGGTGGGCAGAGGCCGCAGGCGTGGCGCAGGAGGTGGGCAGAGGCCGCAGGCGTGGCGCAGGAGGTGGGCAGAGGCCGCAGGCGTGGCGCAGGAGGTGGGCAGAGGCCGCAGGCGTGGCGCAGGAGGTGGGCAGAGGCCGCAGGCGTGGCGCAGGAGGTGGGCAGAGGCCGCAGGCGTGGCGCAGGAGGTGGGCAGAGGCCGCAGGCGTGGCGCAGGAGGTGGGCAGAGGCCGCAGGCGTGGCGCAGGAGGTGGGCAGAGGCCGCAGGCGTGGCGCAGGAGGTGGGCAGAGGCCGCAGGCGTGGCGCAGGAGGTGGGCAGAGGCCGCAGGCGTGGCGCAGGAGGTGGGCAGAGGCCGCAGGCGTGGCGCAGGAGGTGGGCAGAGGCCGCAGGCGTGGCGCAGGAGGTGGGCAGAGGCCGCAGGCGTGGCGCAGGAGGTGGGCAGAGGCCGCAGGCGTGGCGCAGGAGGTGGGCAGAGGCCGCAGGCGTGGCGCAGGAGGTGGGCAGAGGCCGCAGGCGTGGCGCAGGAGGTGGGCAGAGGCCGCAGGCGTGGCGCAGGAGGTGGGCAGAGGCCGCAGGCGTGGCGCAGGAGGTGGGCAGAGGCCGCAGGCGTGGCGCAGGAGGTGGGCAGAGGCCGCAGGCGTGGCGCAGGAGGTGGGCAGAGGCCGCAGGCGTGGCGCAGGAGGTGGGCAGAGGCCGCAGGCGTGGCGCAGGAGGTGGGCAGAGGCCGCAGGCGTGGCGCAGGAGGTGGGCAGAGGCCGCAGGCGTGGCGCAGGAGGTGGGCAGAGGCCGCAGGCGTGGCGCAGGAGGTGGGCAGAGGCCGCAGGCGTGGCGCAGGAGGTGGGCAGAGGCCGCAGGCGTGGCGCAGGAGGTGGGCAGAGGCCGCAGGCGTGGCGCAGGAGGTGGGCAGAGGCCGCAGGCGTGGCGCAGGAGGTGGGCAGAGGCCGCAGGCGTGGCGCAGGAGGTGGGCAGAGGCCGCAGGCGTGGCGCAGGAGGTGGGCAGAGGCCGCAGGCGTGGCGCAGGAGGTGGGCAGAGGCCGCAGGCGTGGCGCAGGAGGTGGGCAGAGGCCGCAGGCGTGGCGCAGGAGGTGGGCAGAGGCTGCAGGCGTGGCGCAGGAGGTGGGCCGAGGCTGCAGACAATGTGTCTGATGATCGGCAGCCATTGCTCCTGTTGAGAAGTCTCCCCGTCTGTGACCTGAGGACTGATAGGTGAAGCTCCTTCTATGGCTGCCACTATAATTGGATCGTTCAGTCCGGACTAGACCTGGAAGATGAAGAGTTTCCTCGTTGTTGTCACGGTGACTTTCCGTCCTCATTAGAGATAACTTCCTGTTAAGATTCCGCTCAGTATAAACAGCGGCAATTACCAATGCGTCCGCTCCTCACTGGCCGGGATCTGTCATCACATGTACAGGAGAAAGTCAATCTGTGCCGTGTGTACATTACACGTGTCATCGGCCCGGCGGAGTCATTGACGCAATGTAAACAAACTCCTTTTGTATCCCGAGCTCTCCCTCACAGGGATCCGAAACCGCGCCGGTCCTCTACGTGCCGCCGAATCGGAAGGTTTGTTAGAATCAAACTTTATTATGAACGGACGCCGTCGCTGGAACATGCAGAGATATATATTTTTTTTCCTATCGTGCGTTGAGAAATGCAGCGCAATAAAAAACAGCGGGTTTTATAGCGCCACCTGCAGGGGGAGCGTACTAAGTGCAAATAAAGCCCCAGCGCAGCGGTGGTCAACTGTTGCAGTGTAGGCGGCCTCGACTAACTATCTTCCCTTCAGTCTATCATGAATGCTGCTGCTAGACTCATTCACCTAACCAACCGCTCAGTGTCTGCAACCCCCCTCTGTCATTCACTGCACTGGCCTCCATTCCCCCACCCCCCTCTGCCATTCCCTGCACTGGCCTCCATTCCCCCACCCCCCTCTGCCA